CCATTTCAGAACGGTTCCAGATTCGAACTGGCCACTAATCCCAAAAAAATATTGTGCATTTAAACTATACTAGCATTTTAGATTTAAAATAAAAATGGACGATTTCGTTAATTTTCTTTTTTTTTGAAAATCTAAAAATTGTCAGGGATTTCTGGTGCTTCATTTTTAAAAAGGCTTAGGTCGTTTTATTTTGAACTAATTTTAGAAAATCTCAGACGCTCGTGTGTTTGCCTTTTTTTTTTAATTTAAAGAATCTCAGAAGCTCGTGGTGATTTATTGTTTAAAATTATTTAAAAATAAATTGACCGGGGCCCCTGAGATTTTTTTCATTATTTCAAAAAGAAACCACCAGGAACCCGTGGGATTCTTTAAAATTGCTTCAAAATAAAAAAGCCTGAACCCCTAAGATCCTTTAAAATTATTTCTAAATAAAATGGCGGGACCACCTGAGATTTTATATTATTATTATTATATTTTTTAATACAACACTAAGAGAGCTCAAGATTTTTTCAAATTCTTCCAAAAACAAAACATCAAATGCCTTCAAGATTATTAAAATTATTTCAAAAATGAGACGACTGGAATTCTTAAGGTTTTTAAAATTTTTTCGAAAATAAGACACCAGAGATCCCACGATTTTTTAGAATGCTTTCAAAATGAAACTATAGCGGAGACATTAATTTTCAATTTTTCTTGTTACCAAAAATAAAACACCTAAGGAGCTCAAGATTCTTTCAAATTCTTCCAAAAATAAAAGATGAAATGCCTTCAAGATTATTAAAATTATTTCAAAAATGAAATGCTGGAATTCTTAAGATTTTTAAATTTTTTTTGAAAATAAGACACCAGGGGTCCCAAGATTTTTTAGATTGATTTCAAAATGAAACTATATCGGAAACATTAATATTCTTTAATTTTTCTTTTTACAAAAAATAAAACACCAAAGGAGCCAAAAATTCTTTCAATTTTTTCCAAAAAGAAAACATCAAATGCTCTGAAGATTATTAAAATTATTTCAAAAATGAAACGACGGGAACTCCTACGATTTTTTAAATTATTCAAAAAATAAGACACCACGGGTCGCAGGATTTTTTGAAATGAGTTCAAAATGAAACTATACCGAAGATATTATTTTTCTTTAATTTTTTTTACCAAAAAAAAAAAACATCATAGGAGCCCAAGAATTTTTCAAATCATTCCAAAAACAAAACATCAAATGCCTTCAAGATTATTAAAATTATTTCAAAAATGAAACGACTGGAATTCTTAAGATTTTTAAAATTTGTTTGAAAATAAGACACCAGGGGTCCCAAGATTTTTTAGATTGATTTCAAAATGAAACTATATCGGAAACATTAATATTCTTTAATTTTTCTTTTTACAAAAAATAAAACATCAAAGGAGCAGAAAATTCTTTCAATTTTTTCCAAAAAAAAAAAGATCAAATGCCTTCAAAATTATTTACAATTTTGTTTCAAAAATGAAACGACGGGAACTCCTACGATTTTTTAATTTTTCTTAAAATAAGACACCAGGGGTTCCAGAATTTTTTAAAATGATTTCAAAATTAAACTATACCGGAAATATTATTATTTTTTAATTTTTCTTTTTACCAAAAATAAAACACCAAAGGAACCGAAGATTTTTTCAAATTCTTCCAAAAACAAAAAAAAGTGCCTTTGATTATTTAAATGTTTTCATAGATAAAACACCAGGGGATTCCAAGATTCGTTCAAATTCTTTTTCATTCAAATACCAACGTCTCCCTAGATGTTGGATTCTATACCTAAATAATTTCCACAAGAGCCCCAGAGATTTTTTCAATTATTTCAAATATAAAGCACCAATGGACCTCAAAGTTCTTTCAAAAACCAATACCATCAGATGTCTTTGAAAATCTTTAAAGCCCTTTCAAATATGGTATTACGGAGGCCTTCAAGATTCTTCCGATTTATTTCAAAAATTAAAACACGGACGCACTTGAAATTCTTTAAATAAAAAAAAACTTCCAGAGATCTCAAGATTTTTAAAATTTATTTCAAAATAAAACGGCCCTAGCTTCTGAGATTTTTTTTCTTTTCTGTTTAGTAAAACACCAAGAGAGTCCAAGTTTCTTTCAAATTCTTCCAAAAATAAAACACCAGGGGCTCTCGAGATTATTTAAAATCCTTTCAAAATTGAACTCTCCAATTGACTCCAAAATTGTGCAAAATTATTTCAAAAATAAAATACCAGAGGACTCCAAGAAACGGGCGCCCCATAAGATTTTTTAAATATTTCAAATATAAAACACTAGGTATCCCAGAGATTCTCGAAAGTGTTTAAAAAATAAAGTAATGGACATCCTTGAGATTCTTTCAAATTCTTCCAAAAATAAAACACCAGAAGCTCAAGATTATTTAAAATCCTTTCAAAATTGAAAGGACGGGGACTCCGAAATTTTGAAAAATTGTTTCAAAAATAAATCACCAGAGGACTCCAAGAAACGGGTGCTCCACAGGATTTTTTAAATATTTCAAATAAGTATAAAACACCAGGAATCCCTGAGAGTCCCGAAATTCTTTCAAAAATAAAGCAATGTAAGTATCCCCTTGAGATTCTTCCAAATTATTTCAAAAATTAAACGACGGAGGCATCACTTGAGATGCTTTAAATGAAAAAAAAAAATAGCAAGAGACCCCAAGATTTTTAAAAATTATTACAAAATGAAACGGCCGCCGCTTCTAAGATTTTTTTCTTTTCTTTTTAGTAGGACGAAGAGAGTCCAAGATTCTTTCAAATTCTTCCAAAAATAAAACACATTGAAAGGACGGGAACTCCAAAATTTTGCAAAATTATTTCAAAAATAAAACACCAGAGGGCTCCAAGAAACGGGGGTGCCCCATGGAATTTTTTAAATATTTCAAATATAAAACACCAGGATTCCCTGAGATTCTCGAAATTCTTTCAAAAATAAAGCAATGGATGTTTCAGATTCTTTAGACACTGGGTAAATGTGTGATTACTTATAAAAAATTTTCAAAAATTAAACGATGGGAACTCCTGAGACTTTTGAATTTTTTTCAAAAATAGAACACTAGGGAATTTAAAAATTCTTTCAACGAAACTTCAATATCTCCCAAGATGCTTTAAAATTTTTTCAAATACAAAACACTGGGCATCACCCCTGAGATTCTTTAAATTCTTTAAAAAACTTAACAAGGAGTGATCCTGGGATTCCATAAATAATTTCAACAGGAGCCCCTGATATTCTTTAAATTATTTCAGTTATTTCAAAGTAAAACATCATAATGTATAGCCAAAAATTCTTTCAAAAATCAACACCAGGTGCCCTTGAGAATCTTTAACATTCTTTCAAAAATGAACCGACCGAAGTTCCAAAATTCTTCAAAATTATTTCAAAACTGAAAGGACGGGGAGCTTCTTAGATTATTTATTTTTTTCAAAAATAAAACACCAAGATTCCAAGATTCTTTCAAATTCTCTTAAAAATGAAACATCAAAGTCTCCCAAGATGCTTAAAAGTTTTTTCAAATACAAAATACTGGGTACCCCTGAGATTCTTTCAATTATTTCAAATATTATAAAACATCAAGGGAGTCCGAAATTCTTTCAAAAACTAATACCAGATGCCTTTGAAAATCTTTAAAACTTTTTTAGATATGGTACCCACGACGGTGGATCTTCAAAATTTTTCCAAATTATTTAAAAAACTAAACGACGGAGCCACTTGAGATCCCTTAAATTAAAAGATAAATTTCTTCGAAAATAAAACACCAAGGGACTCTAAAGTTCTTTCAAATTCCTTCAAAAACAAAACACCAGGTGTACCTACTCTCAAAAAGTATCTGCTTTTTTATATAGGTAGGTATATATAAAAAAAAACAAAATTTGCTAACAAAGAAAGAATGGAATGAAAAATTCACAAAATTACGTCAAAATAAGAAAAAATATACACAACTTTAATGTCCACCAACATCGGAATTTACTTTAAAATTACTCGTAATAACATCTCAAAAATTTCAGTCAGTGTGAATATTTATTACATTACCAACATTAGGTCCAGATACCTACATATTTTTTTAATAGAAAACTCTTAATATACAGGTGATCAAAAAATGGCTCATCATTAAATTTACAAGTTTAAATTCGAAAACAATTATTACATTTTTTGTTTTTTTGTTGTGTAAGTACACCAGTTTGACCTTCACTTACAAAAACAAAATATCGGTTTAAGTAATAAAAGGTGAACAATTAGCCGCTATGGTTAGATTCATTCTGAACAATTTTTAACGTTTTGTTAAATTATAAAATGAAGACATGATACTCCCAAAATTTTTCTGAATACCTACCTAATGAAAGTTCTATCCATTTCATGTACCAAACAAATGTAGTAAATTAAAATATGGTGAAATATCGAAAAGAAAAATTAAACCTTTTCTTTGCTCAATAAACAGTCCTGAACAACGTCATAGAGTAAGTCCGTCGTAATGACAGGACAAAAATATCCAAATTACAAAGTGGACTATGACAATTAAGATTTTTTTTTTGTTTCCTTTCACACATAACCTCACTTGTACTAATTAAATAATTTGAATTTTTTGACATTTGAGATTTAACCTTTATTCCTCTTGTCATTATTCATTGCTTATTTCTGTAGTTACGTTGATAACTTACTCCCATTTAATCTTCCCTATGGTGTATTTTAACAGATAAATTGCCGATCAATAAATATACATATTTGAGAAATGTATGAAAGCTAAAATTATTCTATCGTCTAGGTATTATTTTTCTAACGTTTGAAACATATACAAGATATTTAGCCACCAGAAACGAAAAAAAAAAATTTTTCTTGCATAATCCCACTCTTAATATGTAATATTACACCCGAAAATAATTTTCCCTAGAAACCGTTTTCCACTATCTATCAGAACACCCCCGTTCCACTACACCCAAAACTAGCGTCCTCCTCGCCCTCCTCGCCCATCAACCGCACTCACCTGCGTAGGCGTGAGATGTATAAGCGACGCCAAGTGCTCCCTTTCCGGCGCCGACAGATACTTCTGCTGCTTGAACCTCCTCTCCAGCTCGTACACCTGCAACACCACCCATCACCGTCACACCGCAGTCTTTCCATCATCGCAAGATCGCAGAAAATAAGGGCAAAAGTGAGGTGTCCCACGGCCACGGACGGCACCGCACCGTCGCCAGCAAAATAATTCTCGGCCCCGGTGGAATGTCGGCGACGGGCGGGCCGCGGCCGGGGCGGGGCGGGGACGGCGACCAACAAGTGTCGTACCTGCGCTTGGGTGAAGAGGACCCGCCTCTTCCGCCGCTGAGCCAAGGGGAACTGCATGGGCTTGGAGTCGGGCATGGCGCATGCGCCCAGCCCGGGCATGCCGGTGTTGAGACCGTGGCCCATGTTGGCGGCGGAGGCCGAGCTGCCCATGAGGCGGGAGACTGCAAAATTAAGGATTAAGTTGGTACAAAGTTGAATCGTAATGAAAGCTCTCTCTGTAGAGATTAATTACTGAAATTCGGAACACTTGATGCTTGATTTTATTTCAGTCGGAAGATTTGCTGGTCGTAGTCGATCTGCTACACTGTAATTAAAAGTGGCGAAAAAAGTATATAATAGGGGATTTTACATGTAAAGACAGACATTTGACAATATTTACCATGTTAAATTTGACTCGATGTGATTTGACCTGAGATTCTTTAAATTATTTCACAAATGAAGCGCGGGGAGCCTCTGAGGCTTTTTAAAGTTATTTTAAAATCAAATAAGGAACCTACGAGATTCTTTGAAATATTTTAAAAATGAAACGATCGGGACCCCTGAGATTCTTAATATTCTTTAAAAAATGTGGAAAGACCGGGGCCCCTGAGATTCTTAATGTTCTTTAAAAAATGAAACGACTGGAGCCCCTGAGATTCTTAGTGTTCTTTAAAAAATGAAACGACCGGAGCCCCTGAGATTCTTGATTTTCATTAAAAAATGAAACGACCGGAGCCCCTGAGATTCTTAATGTTCTTTAAAAAATGAAACGACTGGAGCCCCTGAGATTCTTAATGTTCTTTAAAAAATAAAACGACCTGAGTCCCTGAGATTCTTAATATTCTTAAAAAAAAAATGAAACGACCGGAGTCCCTGAGATTCTTAATATTCTCTAAAAAATATGAAACGATTGGAGCCCCCGAGATTCTTAATGTTCTTAAAAAAAAATGAAACGACCGGAGTTCCTAAGATTCTCAGTATTCTCTAAAAAATATGAAACGACCGGGGCCCCTGAGATTCTTAATGTTCTTTAAAAAATGAAACGACCGGAGCCCTTGAGATTTTTAATGTTCTTTAAAAAATGAAACGACCGGAACCCCTGAGATTCTTGATGTTCTTTAAAAAATAAAATGACCGGAGTCCCTGACATTTTTAATATTCTTTAAAACATAAATCGACCGGAGCCTCTGAGATTCTTAATATTCTTTAAAAAAATGGAAAGACCAGGGCTCCTGAGATTCTTTATGCATGTTCTTTAAAAAATAAAACGACCGGAACCCCCGAGATTCTTAATGTTCTTAAAAAAAAAAATGAAACGACCGGAGTCCCTGAGATTCTCAGTATTCTCTAAAAAATATGAAACGACCGGGGCCCCTAAGATTCTTAATGTTCTTTAAAAAATGAAACGACCGGAGCCCTTGAGATTTTTAATGTTCTTTAAAAAATGAAACGACCGGAACCCCTGAGATTCTTGATGTTCTTTAAAAAATGAAATGACCGGAGTCCCTGAGATTCTTAGTGTTCTTCAAAAAAAAAAAATGAAACGATTGGGACTCCTGAGATTGTGTAAAATTACTTCAAAATAAAACGACCGGAGTCCCTGAGATTCTTAATGTTCTCTAAAAAATGGAACGACCGGAGCCCCTGAGTTTCTTAATGTTCTTTAAAAAATGAAACGGCCGGGACCCCTGTGATTCTTAATAGGGTAAATGTGTACAAGAGTGCGCATATGTATAAGAGTACGCACTGATGATTTCTGCTTATTAGTGCCATCTGGGTAAGATGAAGTTATACCATTCACAATCAAATGCTAAACTTGAGATAAAGGTGCAACAGTGACCTGTATATAGTTTATAGTTTGATCGTACTGACGATTTTATGTTTACGCGTTGTGTGGATGTAATTTTTACAGCTCATAGTTTTAGTTTTTTGTAAGGTACGTACCAGTTCTTTTATTTTACAGTAATAATGTTCATTAGCTGTAACTTTTAAGGTGTCGTTATACACTAGCAGTTTTATACTTTCTATACATCAAAAGCTTTTAACTTTGAAAACATTAGGTTATGTACAAATGTACAAGAGTGCGCAATACTTGCGATACGTAGTCTTATAGATACATATGATATCTACTATAATGAATTATTTAACTCTACTACTTTGTACTGCTTCTCAAGTTGTGTGGTGGTGGTTATGGTGATGTTTGTTTTTTAATTTTTACTTCCTGAGCGTAAGCGAATGAAGTATTGTGATCGAGTCCGTCGACCGACTCTCTACTTTTACGTTTTCTCGAATTTCAAGACCCGTAGAGTACGAAGAAATATGGATCCCGTTGTATGTGTAGTCTGTAGTCACTTGTCCCTATTTATTTTCACCTTAGAAATAAAGATTTTTTTCATAAAATGTAATGCGCACTCATAAGCGTTCAAGTGCGCACTCTTGTGCAGTGGACTGTCTAAGAGTGCGGATTTACACATCTTGACAAAAATTGAAATTACTCTTAAAATATAGTGGTCTTGGGACGTACAATTAAGTATATCTGATCTCTAAACATGTATATGACGAACCCATGTCATAAAATTTGTCTATCCAAAATAATTAAAAAGTTATTGACAGTTTTACACTAAGTGCGTACTCTTGTACACATTTACCCTATTGTTAAAAAAAAATGGAAAGACCAGGGCTCCTGAGATTTTTTATGTTCTTTAAAAAATGAAACGACCGGAACTCCCGAGATTCTTGATGTTCTTAAAAAAAAAAGAAACGACCGGAGTCCCTGAGGTTCTCAATATTCTCTAAAAAATATGAAACGATTGGAGCCCCTGAGATTCTTAATGTTCTTTAAAAAATGAAACGACCGGAGCCCTTGAGATTTTTAATGTTCTTTAAAAAATGAAACGACCGGAACCCCTCAGATTCTTGATGTTCTTTAAAAAATGAAATGACCGGAGTCCCTGAGATTCTTAGTGTTCTTTAAAAAATGAAACGACCGGAGCCCCTGAGATTCTTGATTTTCATTAAAAAATGAAACGACCGGAGCCCCTGAGATTCTTAATGTTCTTTAAAAAATGAAACGACTGGAGCCCCTGAGATTCTTAATGTTCTTTAAAAAATAAAACGACCTGAGTCCCTGAGATTCTTAATATTCTTAAAAAAAAAATGAAACGACCGGAGTCCCTGAGATTCTTAATATTCTCTAAAAAATATGAAACGATTGGAGCCCCCGAGATTCTTAATGTTCTTAAAAAAAAATGAAACGACCGGAGTTCCTAAGATTCTCAGTATTCTCTAAAAAATATGAAACGACCGGGGCCCCTGAGATTCTTAATGTTCTTTAAAAAATGAAACGACCGGAGCCCTTGAGATTTTTAATGTTCTTTAAAAAATGAAACGACCGGAACCCCTGAGATTCTTGATGTTCTTTAAAAAATAAAATGACCGGAGTCCCTGACATTTTTAATATTCTTTAAAACATAAATCGACCGGAGCCTCTGAGATTCTTAATATTCTTTAAAAAAATGGAAAGACCAGGGCTCCTGAGATTCTTTATGCATGTTCTTTAAAAAATAAAACGACCGGAACCCCCGAGATTCTTAATGTTCTTAAAAAAAAAAATGAAACGACCGGAGTCCCTGAGATTCTCAGTATTCTCTAAAAAATATGAAACGACCGGGGCCCCTAAGATTCTTAATGTTCTTTAAAAAATGAAACGACCGGAGCCCTTGAGATTTTTAATGTTCTTTAAAAAATGAAACGACCGGAACCCCTGAGATTCTTGATGTTCTTTAAAAAATGAAATGACCGGAGTCCCTGAGATTCTTAGTGTTCTTCAAAAAAAAAAAATGAAACGATTGGGACTCCTGAGATTGTGTAAAATTACTTCAAAATAAAACGACCGGAGTCCCTGAGATTCTTAATGTTCTCTAAAAAATGGAACGACCGGAGCCCCTGAGTTTCTTAATGTTCTTTAAAAAATGAAACGGCCGGGACCCCTGTGATTCTTAATATTGTTAAAAAAAAATGGAAAGACCAGGGCTCCTGAGATTTTTTATGTTCTTTAAAAAATGAAACGACCGGAACTCCCGAGATTCTTAATGTTCTTAAAAAAAAAAGAAACGACCGGAGTCCCTGAGATTCTCAATATTCTCTAAAAAATATGAAACGATTGGAGCCCCTGAGATTCTTAATGTTCTTTAAAAAATGAAACGACCGGAGCCCTTGAGATTTTTAATGTTCTTTAAAAAATGAAACGACCGGAACCCCTCAGATTCTTGATGTTCTTTAAAAAATGAAATGACCGGAGTCCCTGAGATTCTTAGTGTTCTTAAAAAAAAAAAAATGAAACGATCGGGACTCCTGAGATTGTGTAAAATTACTTCAAAATAAAACGACCGGAGTCCCTGAGATTCTTAATGTTCTCTAAAAAATGGAACGACCGGAGCCCCTGAGTTTCTTAATGTTCTTTAAAAAATGAAACGGCCGGGACCCCTGTGATTCTTAATATTGTTAAAAAAAAATGGAAAGACCAGGGCTCCTGAGATTTTTTGTGTTCTTTAAAAAATGAAACGACCGGAACTCCCGAGATTCTTAATGTTCTTAAAAAAAAAATGAAACGACCGGAGTCCCTGAGATTCTCAATATTCTCTAAAAATAATGAAACGATTGGAGCCCCTGAGATTCTTAACGTTCTCTAAAAAATGGAACGACCGGGACCCCTGAGATTCTTGATGTTCTTTAAAAAATGAAATGACCGGAACCCCTCAGATTCTTGATGTTCTTTAAAAAATGAAATGACCGGAGTCCCTGAGATTCTTAGTGTTCTTAAAAAAAAAAAATGAAACGATTGGGACTCCTGAGATTGTGTAAAATTACTTCAAAATAAAACGACCGGAGTCCCTGAGATTCTTAATGTTCTCTAAAAAATGGAACGACCGGAGCCCCTGAGTTTCTTAATGTTCTTTAAAAAATGAAACGGCCGGGACCCCTGTGATTCTTAATATTGTTAAAAAAAAATGGAGAGACCAGGGCTCCTGAGATTTTTTATGTTCTTTAAAAAATGAAACGACCGGAACTCCCGAGATTCTTAATGTTCTTAAAAAAAAAAAAGAAACGACCGGAGTCCCTGAGATTCTCAATATTCTCTAAAAAATCTGAAACGATTGGAGCCCCTGAGATTCTTAATGTT